TCATCAGCGTCACGCAAAGCTTTACTTTCCACCCGTCTGTGGAGCTATTTCAAGCCAGTGCAAGTGGTCCAGTTTCATCATTACAGGCGAGCTGGGTCATGTCAAATGAACAGGGCTTGTATCATCAAACGCCGCCTAAACGCCTTTTTATACTGGAACTAAACACTCCCGAAATATCTCTTTGGCATTAGGCATATAATGCATTACGCAGAGGTCGAAGAACTGCCCAAGCCTGACCTTAGGCCATCATCAGGAAAAATTTGGCACTGTCTTTAACCCGGCCGGGCCCGGGGGTAATCCCAACCACCGCAGTCCGGGCGGGGGGGATGCGTTTTTCGCCCCCTGTCCTGTCCAACACCGTAATTAAGGGAGCTACGGAAACAAAAGCGATACCAAACGAAAGGTTTTTACGAGACGATTCTAAAGCACCTAACATTTTTGACCTCAGGTCAATTTTCATGGTCAGAGGTCAAGGTCAAAGGCAAAAAACGGCAAATGTGTAGTCATCTCAAAATAAGCGTTCTAGAGGACGGCAGGATGCATAAAACCGGCAAAATTGGGTGTCAAACGAAAGAAGAGAATCTGAGAATTCCGTAAATGTGCTCAAAATCAAAATTCAAGGTCAACGTCATGCTCAAACTTGACCTCAAACTTTGCACTCTTTCGTTCATCTTGCGTGCCAATTTCCTAGATGTTTTGAAATGTTTTGAGGCTTATCAGGTCCTTTTTTGTGGTTCATCTTACGATACAAGGCTGCTCAAAGGTCAAGGTCACAGAAGAGCATCCTTGCTATAATAGAGGCTATTTCACTGATTCACGCTATAGTAATAATAAATAAGACAATTTTACCATCCGTAGGCTCTAAATGAAGGATTAGAGGAAAATGGATGCGAGATTGATTCGTGATCAGCGGGTACGAACCCATCATAAACGACTTTTCATATGTCAAGGTCAACCAAAGGTCATTCGAGGTCACATGAGGTCAACATAAAACTTGACCTTTTCCAAACAAAATATATCATTCGACGCGACTTGACAAGGCGAATGCGATGGTACCACTGCCGTAGCTCTAGGGCCATTTTTGTCGAAGTTATTTGCGAAAAACTAAAACCACATTTCGGGGTCGTTGACCTGACCTTTCACCTCAGGTCATCAAAAATATTTTTCTATTTTTCTCTAGGTCAAACGCTACACAACCGTGCTCGTAATTTGTCTTTATCTCTAAAAATCTATTTTAGCAGCTATTTGAGGTTCGCGTCTGTGACGCCGAAGTTTGCCGCGCAGGAGTCTAGAAAAATCGACCCTGTGACGTCATCAAGGGAACTAGGTCCATTTTTTTTACTTCAGAAAATGTCCAATGGAAGGGAGAAAAGGTACTAAAAGTTTCGCTTTCCTATCCCTAAGCGTTCGGGAGCTATCGCAAATATTCGCCGGTGGGGGGGGGGGGCGAAAAGCGTCCCCCGGGTCCGCGAAGGTTAATCTTTATCCGTTTCAACTATAGGCATTATCTATTTTGTATGCCTGGTTAGGTTCGGCTGTTCTCTTGCAGACCGCCTACATCGCAGCCCCGTCCGTCTCGCGCGGGATGGAACTGGGGGGCTTCCGCCAATAAATTTGAAAGAAACATCGAGGCTCGCAGGCGGCTTATGAAAGCTTGTCCAAAATATTAGGAGAATAATTCGGTCACATTCAGGTAAGGCTAAATGTCAGCTCACCAGACATCATCAAAGGTCATTTTTTATGTTGACACATTTGGACAAATTGGCTTATGGCTCGTGAACTAAAAGAGTTCCAACGTCGATTAAAATAACCTTATTCAATGTCCCTTTCGAATTCCCTTCGCTTAAGAGCGTCCCTTCATACCTCACTCAGGCCAAGCAGCGTTTGAACTCTAAGCACACGCAGTGGAGGGGGAGGGGGGATGAATTTCGCCCACCCCTTCTGCTTTTTCGCAAATACATAACTATCTCAAGAGTATCTCAAGCCGTCATAACTCTATTAACGCCAAACTTTAAGTACCTGCCTAAAATTGAATAACAGATCTTGGCCTTGCCGGGAAAGTAATAAGTACGAGTAAATCAGCCCACAACATTTTTTGGTAGCCGGGGTGTACAGTCAAAAATCCCGCCGGCGCGGCGGGCAGCGCCGACCAATTCTCGCTGTCGGCGCAGGACCGGTCAGTCTTTGCATTGCGCTGCTTACGGCTGCTAACAATCGATTCGCTCATGATCTCTGTGTGAATACTTTGAAATGTAGGGGAAGTTGGGGGAACGCCGAATACTTTTTTTCTGACGCCCGTAGCACGCAAGGTAGACAACATAAGCTATTCTTGTTGGCGTCATTCGAGAGGCCAGTCTTTTGCCTTTCAAACATACCAGGCGCATTTGATGAATTCGCATACCGTTAAGCGCACAAACTAAAAATATCAAAGAAGTGACTTTTTCGGGGTTGCCCCGGACTGCGGGGAAAGCCGAAAATGGGAGAAATGATCTACGGGGAATGCCGACATTGATGTTTTGCCACTTTATCTCAAACTTTATCCGGAATTTATCAAAGCTGACACGCGTTTTAAGAGCTTGAGGACGCTTGGTGCACACTGGAAGTTATAATTGTGTGATATAATAAGAAAATGCCAGGTAAATAATTCCTTATAGGTAACAGGCCGTTGTGTCGGTTGAAAGTGTAATTTGTGTGACTAAAAATTCGCGTTGCTATTCTACAGCAGTAAAGTCCACGTAGTGTGCTTTAACGTGCGTAATTGCACGTTTTCGGCATTACCCCAGCCAGCCATACTCATTTGCAGGCCCATAACTTTTCAACGTGCCGTATAAATTTCAAATAGGCAGCACACTTATGCAAAGACATGCTGAAGACTACTTGACCGAATTGGCCAGACAAACGGTAGCATAATGAGTAAGAAATGCAGCTTCAAAGGCGCATGTAGTACAAGGAACGCGTACCTTGAAAACGCTCTTGGCGCCCTCACAGCCGAAGTATTCCGAATGACGACTCGTAACAAACATGCGATAATTGTAGTCACTTAAGCTTCAGAGCATCACTGACAGGTGGCATCCATGTCTTACGGTTTTCGAAATATCTCGAATTTCGGCTTTGCCCCAACTCCGGCATTGCCCCAACTTCCCCTACAGGCAATCTTACGGTGAAAAACAAAAATCAGCCGGTAATATTCTTTCTAATATTCATTCAATTCAGTAATTTGTGCGTAAACACTGAATTGTGACTGGACCGTTTCCGTGTTAGCCTCTACTAAAGATAAAAATAGTACCTAGTTTTCATATAAAACACATCCAAAAATTCCTCTGGTAAATATTCCTTCCTTATTCTGATCATTTTAAACGTAAAAGCTAATTAAACCGTAGCAAAAAAAAAAACGAATTTAAGGAAAGTGGCATGTTCCCTTGAGCCCGCGCTCCGCTAGGGTATTCAGCCCAACACGGGGCCTACTGGGGGGGGGGGGGAGGGGGCAGATCCGTCGCCCCGTTAAACTCCGAGGTGGTAGAAAGACGGGAAAACGGCAATTGAAAGCTCAAGACAAAACGGCCCGGATTCAGCCCAGATTCGGGACACCTCAGATCGAGCTGAAACTCGCACACAATGTAGGTCGTGGCATGCCTAATCCACAGCCCGAGTCATTCGGTAGCACTCCCAGCCGTTTGACCTACAGAGATCAGCAAAGATCACGTGCCCCAAATTTGCACAGCAGTTTATGGCCCTGCCAAGTGGAGCTAGAGCGCTAAAAACGGCACCAACCGACTCGCAGGCATTTGATCTACTAGCAATTTGACCTCCCGCGGTCATGCGTTCACCTAAGGTCATTTGCGGGCTATGTCGAAAATACACCAGCACAGCGGTTCTCGAGTATAAGGATCGACCTAATTCCAAATCAAAGCATACCATCGAGTAGTCCATGAGACGTAGTAACTTTCCTCGCAGCCGTTTCTCGCTATATGACCCCGTTTGACGTGGGCAGGTCAAAAGGTACGATTCTCTGACACCCCCTTGATCGCAGCCCGGATTCAGCCCAGATTCGGGACACCTCGGATCGAGCTGAAACTCGCACACAATGTAAGCCGTGGCATGCCCAATGCACAGCCACAGTCCGACTCATTCGGTGGCACTTCCAGCCGTTTGACCTACAGAGGTCAGCTAAGGTCACGTGGACCAAATTCGCACAGCAGTTCATGACTCTTCCAAGTAGAGCTAGAGCGCTAAAATGGCACCAAATGACTCGCAGGCATCTTATCCTTTCCCACTAGCAATTTGACCTCCCGCGGTCATGCGTTGACATAAGGTCATTTGCGGGCTATGTCGAAAATACACCAGCACAGCGGTTCTCGAGTATTAGGATCGACCGAATTCCAAATCATAGCATACCATCCATGAGACGTAGCAACTTTTCCTCAAACCGCTTCTCGATATGTGACCTTGTTTGACCTAGGCAGGTTGAAAGGTGTGATCCGAGGTTCGAGCTGTCCCGAATCTGAGCTGAATCCGGGCTGCGACCTAGAATGACCTTAGGTCAACGCATGACCGCGGGAGGTCAAATTGCTGGTGGGAGAGAAAGATCGGATACCTGCGAGTCGTTTGGTGCCGTTTTTAGCGCTCTAGCTCCACTTGGAAGAGCCATAAACTGCTGTGCAAATTTGGGTCACGTGACCCTAGCTGACCTCTGTATAGGTCAAACGGCTGGAAGTGCTACCGAATGACTAGGGCTGTGGATTAGGTATGACACGACCTACATTGTGTGCAAGTTTCAGCTTGATCTGAGATGTCCCGAATCTGGGCTGAATATGGGCTGTCTTGATGAACATCTTTCAGCTGTCTGTTTACGAAGTGTTAGTTTTTTTTGTGGCGGTTCCACCTTCAGAGAGACCCTCTCCTCCCGCCTTTTCCGGAGATAGGACCTTAGCCGGGGGCACCCCAGGTGAGTCGGTGTGTCGTATAAGACCAGCGGCCGCCGCAGCTCGCGGCTCAGTGAGACGCCGCACCTGCCCGCCGCCGTGCCCGCACGGGACAGAATACCTCTCTCTACCTGTCCGCGGTGCCGGCAGCACAGCAGACCGGGCGAGCAGCGGTAGATCGCCGACCGAAACGGGGACAGAAGGTATATACAAGTACCTCAGGGGAGGAACAGGTAAGAATTCTTTGGTTACACCCATTCCCTTTCTAGTAAGCTATTAGACCTTAGCGTTAACTACTGTGCAATAGCCAATATTAATGTAAATGCATCAGGGTGCATACAAAATATAAACGTACCTAATTACTACCCACCTTCTTCTAGCTAGCACAATTGACGTCGGGTTCCTCCCATTTTATCAGTATACCTAATGCAGAAAAAAATGGTAACTATTGCCACACAAACGGACATCCGAGAAATGAGAAAACCAATGATGGAAAAAAGGCTACTGAATGAATAGGAAAATGGACGTTGGAAATTTTTGGTTATGGCATGAGACATCATTGACTGGACTGTTGGAGATAAGATAGAAGTGAATAAGTCAGATATTTATCAGGTTTTAGTTTTCAAAGTTTGATAAATAATAAACTTGCTTTGGACCAATGATTTGGTCCAAGGCAATAAGGGCCAATTTATACCTACTCGTAGTTACATTAACGTGATACCAAATAATTACACAAATAAAAGCAGATCCTAGATACCTACCCTATTAACTTGTTAGAGTAAAAACCAGTAGGGCGGGCACATACCACATTGGTACGGCATGTGCCCGCTCATGCCACATTCCACATGGTATGCTTGTTAGTATTGAAACAGATCCTAAGATAACCGCATTACCAGCAAATGTCAGAGGGATTTTGCCTATGATACGCATGGACTTGCAGGGATATTATTTTGTCAGCTCTTAGAAAACACCCGGACTGGAGCGGCGCCGGCTTTAAAGTTAAGACGGCCGGTTGACGTGGGACCGGTTCGCTCCCGGAGCTTGGCTACTTATACGGTCATTCGGGCCTTCCATGAACCGCTGATAAGGACAACGAGAGAAAGGAATCGCTTAATCCAGCCTCTGAAATGCATATAGGTACTGCAGACACGATTTAAACGAATAAACGATTCTGCTTTTCAACCCCAAAACTATAAAAAGTTCAGCAGCTTTACCCATAACTGAAATGTCTGAGGGCTCAAATCCGTGAACGGTAAAACCGTACCCTTGAAAAGACATGCTCAGTAATCGCAACGCCTCTCGTCAGCGGAGAGCAATATTCGGTGGTGAAGTGTGAACGCGACCTCGCCCTGCCCATTCAGCCCACAGACGATGGACGACGACGAGTTTCGAGCCGCGGCCGGCGACGTGATCGACTACATCATCGGCTACCAGCGGAGGATCCGGGAGAGGGCGCCGCTGCCGGCCGTGACGCCCGGCTACCTGCGCCACCTGGTGCCCGCCGAGGCGCCCGAGCAGCCCGAATCCTGGGCCGACGTGCTGGCAGACATGGAGCGCGTCATCCAGCCGGGCATGACCCACTGGCACTCGCCACAGTTCCATGCCTTCTGCCCGCTGGCCAACTCTCCGCCGGCGCTGCTGGCAGAGATGCTGGCGCACGGCCTCAGCTGCGTGGGCCTCAACTGGGAGGCGGCGCCGGCCTGTCTTGAGCTCGAGATGCTCGTGCTGGAGTGGGTGGCTAAGCTGCTGCAGCTGCCGGACGAGTTCATGACGCGCACGGGGACCGGCGGCGGCGTCATCACCGGCTCGGCCACCGAGGGCGTCCTGGTGACCGTCATCGCCGCCCGGGAGCGCGCGCTGGCCCGCCTGCGCGCCGGCGACCCCGAGCTGGACGAGACAGTGGCGCGCGGCCGGCTGGTGGCGTTCACCTCGTGTCAGGCCAACCCGGCCATCCAGCGGGCGGCGGCCACGGCCGAGGTGCGGCTGCGCGCGCTGCCGGCCGACTCCGAGTGCTCGTGGCGCGGCGACACGCTCCGGCAGGCGGTCGAGGAGGAGCTGGCCGCCGGGAACGTGCCCATCTACGTGGTGGCCACGCTGGGCACCACGAGCACGTGCGCGTTCGACCGGCTGGACGAGCTGGGCGCCGTGTGCCGCCAGCACGAGATGTGGCTGCACGTGGACGCGGCGTACGCGGGCGCGGCGCTCATCTGTCCCGAGTACCGCCACCTGCTGCAGTGCGGCGTCCAGGACGTCACGTCGTTCAGCTTCAACGCCCACAAGTGGCTGCTGGTCAACTTTGACTGCGGCCTGCTGTGGGTGCGCGACGCCAGCCAGCTGGCCGAGGCCAACCGCATCGACGCCCCGTACCTGGACACTGCCGAGACCACGCTGCCCAACTTCCGCAACTGGTCGCTGGCGCTGGGACGCCGGTTCCGCGCGCTGAAGCTGTGGTTCGTGCTGCGTCTGTACGGCGTCAGCGGGCTGCAGGAGTACATCCGCGGCCACGTGCAGCTGGCGCGTCAGTTCGAGGAGCTGGTGCGTCGGGACGAGCGGTTCGAGCTGGCCGCGCCCGTCTCCATGGGCGTCGTGTGTTTCCGGCTGCGCGGGGAGGGCAACGCGGCCACGGCCGAGCTGCTGCGGCGCGTGGGCGAGGCGCGGCGCGTCTACATGGTAAAGACGGAGCTGCCGACCGGCCAGCTGGCCGCCCGGTTCGTGGTCGTGTCGCGCGTCACCACCGACCGCGACATCGCCGTCTCCTGGGAGGAGATCCGGCGGCACGCGGACGCAGCCCTCAGCGGCGCCGCCGCCGACTCGGACCGGCCGCCGGCCGTCCAGCCGACCGGACACGTGGAGACGTGCACGTGCACCACCAAACGCAACGGCTTCATGACCGACAAGACCGTCTCCGAGCGCTGGAGGATGCTCATGCTCCTACACAAAGTCGGATACAGGGGACACTGACTCACAGCGAGAACCCTACAAAATCCATATAGGTACTATACTACCATGCATTGTCACGAGCTGTACGATCAATGTCCTACCTACACTTGACCGTAGCCAATCATCGGGAAAGAGAGGCAATGTAAGTACCTACGCTCAATTTATCAATTGTTGTTGGTTGGCAATGCATATGTAATAAATCTGCTAACATTTTTCAAATAAATTTTCATCCCCCAATAAAGTTACGCGTCTTACATACGTTTAACCTACAACGCGTTCTCTACGAAAGCCCGAGTAAAGAGGGTTGGGTGAAGCGCTCCATGTGCGAATATTGATGGAACTCACCTAGGTACTACCTACTGATTTCAGCACAAGAACATTAACCCGCGCCCCGCTGGGGGGGGGGGGCAGAATCTGCCCCCTCCCGTTTTTCGCCAATAACTTCTAAACGCGTTACGCCAGCGACGTCAAACTTTCAGTACCTTATCATACATCAATTTGACACCTTCCCTGAAAATTTGAGCCAAATCCGTCGGATTTGTTTTTGAGAAATTGACGTTTTTGTGACGTCATGTTCGCCATTTTCGCCTAAAAAACGGCAACATTTCAAACGCCGCTAACATCTTCATTTTTTAAGGAATCAAGACGTAACAAAAAGGTTACACGTGATTCTACTTTGTCTATCAAATGGCTATCTCGGTTTTTTGAAAATTTTGGATTTTGGCCCATTTTTTTTTCAAAAAAACTGACTTTTTTTGGGAAAATTATTATAAAATCCAAAATTTTGAGTGTATCGAAAAAACCGGAATATATGTCGGAGAAATGGTCTATGTGCACCTACATACCAATTTTTAGAAGAATCGGTTAAAAAATGTGGGAGTTATTCAAAATTTTATGACGTCACGACACACAAAAAATTTGAAAAATGATTTTTTTGGAAGGTCTAGACCTCGTACGGAAACAAAAATAGCACCATTCGATTCGTCGTGAAAAACTGCATCAGATAGACACCTTTTTAGGCCTTAACAACCAACTTCAAAATTTGACCTCACTTGACCTGACCTTGACCTGACCTCGATCTGAAATTCATCCAGAGGTGGTCCATATCACTTATTGAGTGTGCCTATTGAATTCTATGAGTAAAATGACCCATAAAACATGTGTCGCACATGCCCCTTTCTATATTTTGTTTTTGGTGACCTGACCTGGCCTTGACCTTGACCTTTAAATGACATTGTATGCAACGAATATTGTCTTGGTAGTCTAAGAACACGTTTTGGGCAATCAGTCTCAGTCGATTCTTCGGCAACTACGGTGCAAGGCCGATACTGTAGAAACTTGCATTTTGTATCCTTGACCTGACCTTGACCTGACCTCTGACCTACTTAAGCAAAAAAAGGGCTCTTAAGATCCGCCTTGTTGAGAGCTTTCGATTGCCGTTGTTCCCGTCTTTCTACGACCATCGGTTCGGAACCTAGACAGGGGGGGGCAGAATCTGCCCCCCCCCCAGCAGGGCGCGTATGGGTGAATAGCCCAGCGGGGCGCGGGTTAAGCATGCACTGGATCGAGTCTCGCTTCCTTCGCGAATGAGGTAATTTTTTTTCCAGTCGCAGGTCAGCACGGCGGTTTTCGAACTCTTCACTATTCACTTCGACTGACATATTGCGCCATGATTTGGAGCCTTGTACGGCTTCGTCCTGCGACTTTCGTGCCTAGCTAAAATCCATCAGCCTCGCCGCGTCTCTTTTCTGGCTATACATATAAGGCGCTACCTGTTACAGTAGACACAACTGAGGCGGATGGACGCGTGGCTTTGGCTCGCTGCTTTCTCCCTATATTATTCGTATCATGTCGTATCCTCGTTTTCCTCCACCGACCCGATCGCTGCCGGCTGTTTGGCCTGATGCTCATCCGAATAATGACGTAATTCCTGAATGGTTTCCCCACCAGGACTGATCGCTCGCGAGCTTTCAAACTTAACTAGGCAGGCCAATTAGCATAAGTGAATACCGATAATGACTTTGGGACGTTACGACGAAACTACTGCTGAGGCATAGGTGTTATATCAGGTTATTTCCATTAACAATTACTATTCCGGAACTAGGGCAAGCACTCATCCAAACACGTCTTACCGTCGTGTCCATGTATTACCAGATGCACTGTAACGCGAGGACATTGCTGCGTGTCAGCCAGCAGCCAGTAGCATTTTGAATATATCTACACTCTCTTACGAGGAGCATTATTCAAAGCCTGGATACGGCAAAACAAAAACGCAGTGCACGGTGGCATCGTCACAAATGGAAAAGACAAGCTTACAGCAAAAGGTGCATCAACATGACCGACAACTGATTATCGATGATACAGATTGTCTACTTTAATGACTGATTTATATCACTGCTCGATCACAAAAACAGCTGATCAGTTCGGCAGCCGTGCAAACTACCATCAATACGAGACAACTGATAGTCATTGACATAGCCAGCAAATTCGGGTCTCTCGTGCGCTATAGCGTCACACACGCCTGGATATTCGATGGCAGATAGTGCCTGTAATATGGCATATCGACGATAATATGCATCAACACCTTCACTGCATGTGCAGGTCAGCCGACTGATGTCGCATCGGCGGCACTGACAGGAAAATCTTGTAACAGCCCTGCTTCAGAACGCCGGCTCATGGGTTTCAGATGCCATTCCGCGTTCATCTTGAGATCACTGAGGCAGACGCGACCGCCCGACCGGCCGTTGACGGGCAAGGCGTTTAGTGGCGCTGACAGGGAGTGCAGCGAATAACAGGCAGGCTGGTGCACAGTTCTCGCAGTGCCGTGGGCTCGCACAGCGGCCCAGCGTTAAACCTCCGATCCGGCCAGTTGACAGCGCGCGTCCACGTCTTTCTTAGTCAGCGTTGGGAAGTGCCCACTAAAGCGGAATTCGGTTGTCCTTTGCCCATTGCTTCATCACCTGAAAGCAAGCGCAGACGTCATATCCGCCAATTTACCACGGCCATCATACGCAGAAAACGTTAAGAGGGCATTCGCATCCGTCCAGGAAACTAATAATCAAGAACGTCTGCCAAGATGGTCACAATGACGCGCTTACTTACTCCGATGATGGGCTCCACTTGAGGGTTGGGCGTGTTCCTCAGCAGGGCCAGAATATCACCGAGACTCTCTCTGGAGAAAAGGCCAAACATCACTCAATGGAGCTGATGCAAAAGGTGCATCCCGCAAAATTGTTAACAAACATATTTAACTGTGCAGTGTGTGCCTGCAGTAAAAAGCTAAAACAAAAAAGTCAAATATTTGCACACCTATCTCACATTATCATTTGAAATAGAGATGCCAGCGTGATATGAAGTTTGTCAAACCCCAATGTTGATGCGACCATAGCCAGAGAGCTGATCTATGTACTGCCTTACTTGGGCTCCAAGTTGGCGATGATCATCTGGAAGAGGCCGATGCAGGCGCCCCGTTTGCCCTCCCAGTACTCGGGGTTCGGATCCAGCCTGTCAGCCAAGCAACCCTTGCATGAGCGAATTCGAGGTAAAACAGATGTCGCACGTTAAGTCAACGTGCCAATTAACTGCTCGGATGAGCCAACGTTAGTCAATTCACGGTCTAACAGAGCATGTCTCAGTACCTTTCGAGCACGTCAAAGGCCTTGGCGGAGTAGTAGAACTGTCCCATCTTGTAGCAGTCGTTGGCGATGACCTGCAGCAGGGAGAAGGACTCGGCCGACGTCTCCATCTTCAGGTACAGCTCCCAGGCCAGGCGCGCCTTCCTGTTCATTATGTCTGCGGCATCAGTGGCAGCAGCATTAGGCAAAAAATCGCATATCAATCAAATCACTAATGCTCTTTCAGTGGCTGCAACGAGACAAAATGTGGAAATAGAGCAACGAAAATGTAAGTCTTCTGACCTTAACGTAAAACAAAAACCGTGACCAAAATATGAAGACAGGTGCAGTTCATTTCTTTCGCTACTGGTTTCGGGACTTACAGCAGCGCGCCAGCCACGAGAGGTAGACGTAGTCGCTGCGCACCTTCTCGCTCTGAATCAGCAGGAACGTCTCCTCCGCCTCGGCGTACGCGCCGGTCGCCGCCTTGGCCTGCAGCGGAGCAGACGATCACAATCAACACGTCGTCGCCACACGCCGATAAGATTGATTCGTGCAAATAGCAGAACTTGATCAATGACAGAAAGACCTTCACAACGTTTGCAGCCACATTATGTAGTCAGCTCAGGTGGAATAGGAAGAGAGAGAGAGAGAGAGAGAGAGAGAGAGAGAGAGAGAGAGTGAGTGAGTGAGTGAGAGAGAGAGAGAGAGAGAGAGAGAGAGAGAGAGACGGAGAGAGAGAGAGGGAGAGAGAGGGAGAGGGAGAGAGGGAGAGAGGGAGAGAGGGAGAGGGCCGAGAGGAAGAGGGAGAGGGCCGAGAGGAAGAGGGAGAGGGCCGAGAGGAAGAGGGAGAGGGAGAGGGAGAGGGAGAGAGAGAGGGAGAGGGGGAGAGGGAGAGAGGGGAGAGGGAGAGAGAGAGAGAGAGAGAGAGAGAGAGAGAGAGAGAGAGAGAGAGAGAGAGAGAGAGAGAGAAAGAGAGAGAGAGAGAGAGAGAGAGAGAGAGAGAGAGAGAAAGAGAGAGAGAGAGAGAGAGAGAGAGAGAGAGAGAGAGAGAGAGAGAGAGAGAGAGAGTCCTACCTGTGCATAGTTGAAGTTGAAGGCGTCGTCATTAGGGAAATACGTCTTCACGGAGCTGAGATAGAGCAGCACGTCCTCGAACTGCTTCATCAGGAAAAACGTCGACGCCATGCACTGCCGTCCTGTGGTCATGGCGACGAGAGGCTATGACATATCCACGTGTCACCACTTCAGCTAGCCTGGGCTCTCGTCAGTTATGAAATCATTAAGCATTTATCGGCTGATAACTAAAGCTAAGTATCAATATATACAAAACATAAACATCTAACACCAACCCTGTTAGATTGAGCTTCCATTAATTGTTTCTAGGGCATGAATACGAGTTGGGAACGAAGACAACGTAAGACGGGTGCGAGAAAATCGGTATGTGGCACACGACGTAAATAGAGTTAGCCGGTCCCGTAGCTCAGTCGGTAGAGTGTTGGACTCCGCGTGGCGAGAGCACGAGTTCCCGGTTACAACAGTCCGGGTTCGAAGCGCGACAGGCGCTTGACGTTTATGGGCCTCCTGCCAGGCATGGTTGCGGTTGGTGGCAGGCCGTAGCCAGGCG